ATCACCTGAATAATGAATGTTGGTTTATTTGTTGGTCTTTTATATATAGTTATTCTTAGGGGAGACTAAGGTCACTTCTTTCATCTTATAATATGTGCCTTTTGTCTTTTGAAGCTGGATTTCAGTACTGTTTGCTATATTTTAAATCTCTTTAAAGCTCATCAGAGTTCAGAGGTTAAGCATTTTCATTTCTTAAAATATATTGAGTTTCTATATAGGAGGAAGTGTGTACGAAATGAGAAATATTTTTGTGGAGGGTTTTGTAACGACTTGCTTTGCGGAAGGAGGATGTCAAGAATGCAGAAAGACCCTTCAGACAGACACTCGCATAATCTGAAAATCCAAAGTAGCTGATTGCTGGCTAATCAGTGAGTCAACATACAGTGAAGATTGTGCCTTGATTTGGTTAGCGTCCATGTGGAACGTTCCCTTGGGAACTGACTGCATTATGATCCAATTGGAGACATATGGTGTTGTTAAGAAAAGAGTTAGCAGTTTTCATCTCAGCGTGTTAGCTGCCCTTGCATTTTAGCAGAAATACTTTTTTTTTGTATAAACAGACATTTTAAGACACTTTACTCAGACCTGTCATTGAGTAAAGGAGTTGCATTGTTTGTAGGCTTTCCTCTTTTTTGTCCTGTTTCATCCAACAGATACCTATCGATATAAAAGGTGTTCAAATGAGGCATAAATTATGTAATTGTATAAAAATATGAATGAGCACACTGCATAGAAATTATGGATGATTCAAGTTTTAGCCCAAGTCTCAATTTTTTTATTTGTTCATTTTTGAAAAAAAGATGTATTGAAATCCTTCTTTCTCTGATTGATTTGAAAGTATTTTATTTGGTTTTCCCCATAGAACATATCGCTGACTAATACAATTTAATGCCAAAGACAAAGAAAGTCACTACAAATCCCCAAATGTCTGGGCATCCTTCCAGAATATGCAGGCTTTGATATTAACCTATCTAATATCATAGCTACACCCAATGGAAACATCGTGAATAACAGGAACTTGGTTAGGAGTTTTCTCACTCTTATCTCCTGGGAACAAGAAAGACAAAATAATTATGATCAGTTATAAAACTCTTAGAAGAGGTAACTATATGCTTCTGAGATTTCAACTCATCATAATAGAACTAAATATACAATATCGATCATCATCAGTGCTTGAATCTGCTTATTTATAAATTACTTTGAAAGTTAGAGTTGAATAACGGCTTCAAATGCTAAGTAAAGACATTTCATCTTTGATACTTAAATTAGGTGTGGAAGAAAAGAGGCTATAATACAAGATATGGGTATTTTTAAAGGTGAAGTGGTAATTTGCCCTTGTTGAGTATAATGACTCAGTCATGGTAGGTATAATACAATTTGGGTATATGCTGTCTGCCTTTATTTGTCCTTATTACTTGTTACCTGGAAATAGCTGAAATCTTACTTTCAGAAATGTATGTCTTAACCAATATTTAAGTCCATCTTTAAGACAGAGAGTAAGATAATACTATAAGCTATGGCCTCAGATATTCTTACCTTTTTTTAGTGGTCAATTTTCTAATCTTTTTTATTACCTTAGAAAATATGTGTTTGCTTTTGAATATACTCGTGCAATTAGTATGACCCACTGAAAACGAAAATACAATTTTTAAAATCTGAAAAATCACGGTGTTTTGCCTTAACAAGATTTGCCATATTTGAATTCCAAATTTTGTGGTTTTATCGAACTGCACATTGACAGTTTAAATACATTGCTTTAAGGTCATGTAGATGAGAGACTCACAGTGATCCAATAATGATGACCTAAGATCCTCAGGCCTTCAGAAAGCTGTTGAAAGATTGAATACTATGTCAATCATCTTCTCATACTAGAGCCCTATTGTATTAGTCTGTTTTTATGCTGCTGATAAAGACATATCCAACACTAGAAAATTTAGAAAAGAAGAGGTTTATTGGACTTACAGTTCCACGTGGCTGGGGAGGCCTCACAATCATGGTGGAAGGTGAAAGTCATGTCTCACATGATGGCAGACAAGAGAAGAGAGCTTGTGCAGGCAAACTCCCCAATTTAAAACCATCAGATTTCATGAGACATATTCACAATCATGAGTACAGCATGGAAAAGACCTGCCCCCATGATTCGATTACCTCCCACCAGGTCCCTCCCATAACACTTGGGAATTAAAGATAAGATTTGGGTGGGGACACAGCCTAACTGTTTCTCCTATATTTAATATTACTCTAAGCAAGTGCAGAGCAATTGGTGCCTATTGGTGCCATATTCATACCGCCTAGCTCTCTGTTTAAGGACAGTGTGGGGAAAATGTGCATGTGTTGTTGGGCAAATACAGTGGCATTTGATTTCTGTCACTGTTGACAATGACAATGACTCCTCTTGGTGGTTTTTTTTTTTTTGAGATGGAGTTTTGCTCTTTTTTCCCAGGCTGGAGTGCAATGGTATGATCTTGGCTCACCACAACCTCTGCCTCCCAGGTTCAAACAATTCTCCTGCCTCAGCCTCCCGAGTAGCTGGGATTATAGGCATACACCACCATGCCCAGCTAATTTTGTATTTTTAGTAGAGACGGGGTTTCTCCATGTTGGTCAGGCTGGTCTCAAATACCTACCTCAGGTGATCCACCCGCCTCAGCCTTCTAAATTGCTGGGATTACAGGCATGAGCCTGGCCAAAAAAATGGTAATTATTCTTAAAAGAGATGCAAAGCTAATTATTTTCCTGAGATGATCATCTAGTTTCCAAGTTTCCTACTATGTCATTTCTATAAAAGAACAAGGAAAAAAATCGATTTCAACCTAAAATGTTGACATTGCTCTGGATTTCAAGTTCTAAAAAGGACATAGTTAAGGAAATTTGCAAGGACATGTAACACTGACCACATTTACATTGCTGCCCCATTTTGATTTGAGCCACTGTTGGAATAATCTGCTAATTAAATATGATTCATGTTGGTATTGGGTTCTAATTCCTGACAGATATGTGAGTTGGAAGAGAGCTTTATAGCTATCTTTTAGGAACATGCTTTATTTCTCTGAGCTCCTCCTATTTATTTATAAGAGGTCTTTTTTAAATGAATACATCATGGACCATTAATACCTTTTAGCACATCCCAGAACTACCTCTGTTCATTTTAGATTGTAATGTTACCCCCGGATTTTGGTTACCTGGATCAATGAAGCTAAATATACATGCCAAAAATAAAGTTGTTGAGTACTAGTATACAGGAAGTTTAGAAAGATCAGTCACCTGTGTTGTTGCTAGCAGATGGGAAGGAAAGACCAAAAGCATGTGTTAAATAGTGTCAATCATTTGAGTGTTGTAGCCATCAGCAGAAAGAGATCATTCAGTGTTTTCTCCCTTCCCTAGAGGGAAAAGAAAATACAGCATTCCATAAATGTTGCATGTCCTACATATCGATCTTGATGTTTTCTGGGCAAAATGAAGGATCATTAGTTGCTTGCCCACCTAACCCCAGACATTTCTTTGTCCCATAATGAATTGCACAGCAACGTTGTATAGCCCCAAAGTGTTCCACTTTCAAACCTCTGGCAAAAGCAAAGGGTTAGTTCCCAGACACTTCAGGGATCTGTGGGGCATGGACTTGAAAGGCTCAGTTTCAAAGAGCCCCCAGAGCAGAGTGATACACCATGCGGAAAAGGCTTTCACATGTAGGGACATGTATTGATGAACAGAGCATGCAGGCTGGTTTGTAAAAAAATAAACCATGTTTTGCTTTCAAACTAGACTTTTTTTTTTTTTTCCTGTAAGCACGTGTTCCTATCAGTGGAGCAGTCTTTTCAGAATAAAATGGAATAACTCACTTCTGATATGCTTTACTTACTTTTTATATAATTGTTTCTAATCTCAACTGAACTCTAAGAAGTAGGAAAAATTTGAGAGAAAGCTTAGCACATTATGGGATCTTTTAAAATTTACAACTCTTGTGACTGACAGAACTTTGCACAAATAGTTATGCACCAGAGGAATAATATTTTCCT